AGAATTTGTAACATATGGAATATGCAGGGAACTCGAGTTGGACACACCCTCACACTTTCTTTCGGATGGTGGATCATCATAATCGTCCGTGATATTCCAATATTTCGCACTTCTATGCGCTTGACATTCTTTAATGTTAAAATGTATTCGTTTTGTTCAACATGGTTGTGCCTCAAAAAAGCAATTGTTTCTGTTCTTACCAGTTATATCCATGCATTACAATTTATAACTCAAGGAATACAATTAATGTATTTATCTTAGAATGATCATATTATTTTTATTTTACCCATTTTATTAATAATTCCTTTTGTATGTGGCAGTTTTATTTTTTAAAATCATTTAAGCCTGACAATTATTTGTTCAAATTCAAAAGGAACACAACATTTCTTTGTTGGATCTTTTATTGTGTGTTTCATTTTGTATAGATGTAGGAGGCTAAATATTCTGTTTTTTTATTCTTTATTCCTTTGGGGAATGGAAGTGCTTGATACAAGGGAAGTTCATGTTAAGCGTGTATCCCCACTTCAACTATCAATATCTGATGTAAATATGGGTTCTCTTGCCCGTCTGTTTTCTGCCTTTGTATTCCTTTTTTTTTGTGGTATTCTCATGTTTATTTCTCCTGAATTTATCATTGATGAGTGGAATTTTTTATGGCACTTGATTGAGGATAAGTCTGATCTCTAAGTTAATCTCTAAGTTAAGTGGTGTTTTTGGTTATTTTCTGTCTTTTTACCTCTTTTCAGTTTTCTGGAGTTATTATAGCTTCATATTCTTTCTTTGAAAGAAATTGGTCGAGGATGATTGTGATAATCCCAGCTCATTATGAGACCTTCTGAGTTCTGGGAAAATATCCCTTCATGGAGTCTGAGAGCAACTATGCTGTATACTGCTTCTTCTTCTTCTTCTTCTCGCTCTTCTTCTTTTCTTGTGAGTTTGTTCCCAATGATGGTCCTATTATTGACCATGCTAATATTGTATTGATGATGATTTTTTCGATGTAATTGAGGGAATGTTTCCTATATGTCTTTCTTGCAGAATTTCAATTTTGCTATTTCAGTTTTTGAAAAATTATTTACCTCAATGTGAAATAGTTTAGTTGAGTTGGAATTGGCCATTCCTATAATATTAGCATATTTCTCAGAGAATATTATTTATAAAGTCGCAAACTTTATCTCGGGAGTCTGGGATTCATTGGTGGATATGTGTTATGCAATGTGGTCTTTTTGCTTTGACAACTATCAAGGAATACTTTTTTTAGGTTATTCTTGTTTAAGTCAAATAGGGGAAAACAATTCCCTCAAAAAAAAGTTTTAGGGTGAGTTGGTTATCTTTGTATGTTAGTGTTGGCTGAAATGGGTTTCTCAATGATGTCAAGTCGATGACGAGTCTAACATGTTTTATATATTTAGATGCAACCTGAGGCATTTATCTGAGAGTAAAATTCCCGACATTTTAGCTTCTCTTATTACCAGTTTGCTAGATTGCTGATGGTTTTTTCTTGTTTTCTTTTAATGGAATTTTAAGAATTGTGTTTTTGCTTCTTGTGTGTTTTTTTAGAGGTGATGATTGTGATATACCCAGCTCATTATGAGGCCTTACACTAGGTCTGGGAGAAAATTTTCATTCACATTTCTGAGCTAAATTCAATCTTTTTGTTTTCCCAGTTAGAAAATTGTCCTCTTTCCGCTGTTGATGCCATCATAAGTAATTTAAAGTAATATATTGATTTGAAATAGCTATTCTAACCCCCATCGTATAGGGTGTAGACACATACCTTTAAAAATCGGTCACTGCAATTCTATTGTGATTTATTACAGTGGGATCAAGTGATTATCTATCTATGAATCCTTAATGGTTATGATGCTGAGTATTTTGCTTATATGTCTCGTCCTTCCTTTAATGCGTTTCTCAGTGATGTCAAAATTTATGACGAGTCTGACCTCCTTGATGTAATTCGAGGAATTTGTCTGAGAGAGGCCTTTCATTTGCATTTTCTACTTTCATGTAACTACTTAGCGTATTTCTCAGAGAATATTATTTGTAGAGTCACAAACTTCATCTCTGGAGCTTGGGGTTCCGCTTGTGGATGTGTTACGAACTGTGGTCGTTTTCCTTTGACAACTATCAAGGAAAACCTTTTTTAGGTTATTCTTGTTTAATTCAAATAGGGGGGAAAGAATTCCCCTGGAAAAAAGTTTTAGAATGAGTTGTTTATCTTTGTATGTTAATGTTGGCGGAAATGAGTTTCTCAATGATGTCAAATCGATGACGAGTCTGACGTGTTTTATATATTTTGATGCAACGTGAGGCATTTGTCTGAGAGAAAAATACCATACATTTTATCTTCCCTTATTACCAGTTTGGTAGATTGTGTTTCTTTGTTTTCTAGTAGTTGAATTTAAAGAATTGTTTTTTTATTTTTGTATGTTTTTTTGGCGGTGATGATTGTGAGATACCCAGCTCATTATGAGGGCTTACTAGGTTTGGGAGAAAATTTTCATTCATGTATTTTGAGATAAATTCATTCTTTTTGTTTTTCCAGTGAGAGTATTGTCCTTTTTCTGCTGTTAATACTATCACAATTAATTTGAAGTAATATATTGATTTGAATAGCCATTTTGAGCCCCAGCTTATAGACAAATGTCCTTTTAAAATAGGTCACTACAGTTTTAATTGTGATTTATTTCAGTGAGATCAAGTGATTATCTATCCATGAATCCTTAAATGGTTATAATGCTATGAGTATTTTGCTTATATGACTAGTGCCTCTTCAAATGGGTTTCTCTGTGATGTCAAAATTTACGACGAGTCTGACCTACTTGATGTAACTCTAGGCATTTATCTGAGGGAGGCGATTCATTTGCATTTTCTACTTTCATGTAACTTGTTACATTGGTAGGTGTCAACGGTTTCAATGACCCAAATAGAAATGGTAGAATTGGTTTTTTTCCGATTAGATGACATGGTAGAGCTTTTCAGATTTGTAGATGTCGTTTGTAGTTTGTCTCCTGTTTTAGGTTATTTTACATGTAACCTTAAGCATGATTACTACCCAGGAATTGTTATTTTTCTTTCCTCATTTTTGTACTTCGTTATGAAAAGTTCGACTCCTTTCTCATTTTCAGCATTTTCAATCCCCAATTACGAATAGATTTCATCATGACGATGTGTTCTCACTTATTTCTCTGTTTTATGTTCGTGTGTTGAATTTTTATTCTTATGGTGTTCATGGGATTTGCAATTAGCTTTTGTGTATGAAACTGTATCGGTTACGGTTATTATAAGTTTGTTGTTTAACAAAATGCCGAGAGTTGGGGTATTTGGAGCTCATTGAATTGATGTGGAAGGTTATGATTCCCTACACCATTTATTCAAGGGATTGTATATACTGAGACCATTTACATTTGTTACAAAGTATTCACAAGTACCTCAAGCAATCCGATTTCATATTAGACATCTTGAATTATGTCATGAAGTTCGAGAATTTTTTTTTTGAATTTGGAACTTAGTCAACGGCACATTTATAACCACCTGATTTGAAATTTGATGAACAAGAGTGATTGTGACATTTTTGTGTCAAAAGTAAATGGGCTCTTTGTATACTTTCTCAAAAGGAAATGGTCTCTTTGTTGACTTTTTTTAAAAAGAATTTGTTTTAAAAATGGTAAATCTTGTGGTAAGTTATTTAAATATTTTAATGATTTTGAAGTGTTTATGTGTTTTCGAATCTAAAGTTCATCATAGGGCTGAATATCGATTTTCAAGCCATCTGCATCATATAGTCTCCTACAGTGTAACCTATTGTCAAAATTTTAGTCTCCAACAGTGTAACCTATTGTCGAATTTTAGGGGTACACCTTTGTGGTACATTATACAAACCTTATCCTTTAACAAAAAGGGAAAGTATGTAGAGAGATTATTTATTTTTGATACAAATAGGTCACTAGCACTTTTTTGTCCTATTTAAAAGTGAGTGATTATAAATGTGTCATAGACTAAGTTTAAATTTTTTTAAAACAATTTCTTGAACTTTGTAATATAATTGAAGTTGTGCAATTTGAAATAAGATGCTTTGAGGTATTTGTGATCTCCTTGTAATAATGGTGACATTGTATACAATCCCTTAAAAGAGAATATACAAAGCGACTAGTAACTTTTGATACAAGAAATAATCACTATTGTCCATCAGATTTCAAATCGGGTGGTCCTAAGTGTGTGATTAAACATATGAATATCTTTAAAATGGACAGTCTAGATAATATTTTTTAAAATGTATTATTTTTAATATTCAAAATCTTCTTTTTTTACCCATATTCATACATCGAGATGATCAATTAGATCAACATTAAAACAACATTTTTTGATGGATTTTTGAAATGCATATGTGATTCTACAATTTATTTGGTTGCAACTTTTTTTAAATTTTTTCAGCTTCTAAATTTTACATGTCTTTATTTTTTTGGAAAAAAGTTTATATAAGGTTATAACCTTAAAATGTAGAATCATAGGTGCACTTCAAAAATATATTTGAAATATTGTTTAATATTGTAAAAACCAGCTCATCGAGCATCTCGAGATTGAGATGCATGAATATGAAAAAAAATAAGTTTTTGAATCTCGAAAATAGTGCATTTTACAACACATTATTTAAACGGTCTATTTTCTAGATTTTCATATATCTATAGATCTATTTGGTTTTATTTAAAATTTTCTAATAAGATAATAAGAAGAACTTTTTATAACAAAATTACAGAAAAATTTTAAAGTGCGTTTTAGTTGGATTGTTTAAAGCTCAACCTTATAAAAACCGTAACTTTTTTATTTTTTTTTTATTTTTATTTTTATTTTTTGCAATCATTAAATGACCTTTGGACCAAGTGGAAAGATGTAAAGCTTTTTCAACGACTGTGACGGGCAATGATTCCATGACTTTGCTAGCTTGCTTTATTTACTGTGTCCTCTTTTTTTATGATGTGGCTCCACTTTAATGAATTCATTCGACTTTTTCCAGTTGAATGAATTCGAAACGTGCCGAGGACTCCATTGCAAACTACACCATCATTTTCTTCTTCTTTCCCTTCAAATTTCTCCTGCCCTCTTCCTCACTTCAACAAACCAACATTCAGACTGAATTCCAATACTTTCTTCTCAATCTACTAGAACCACTTTGCTTTGATTGCATCTCTCTCTGATAAGTGGAATCTTGCATCCACCGAATTGTTTCATCTTCCACTAAGGTTACTTTCTCCAAAAAAAAAAGGCTTAACCTTGCACTCTCACTCATGGCTTTCATAAACCCAGTTGCAGATTTTGTTACAAAATACGTGTTTGACCTATGTATTCGGCAGATCTGTTATTTAGTGCGATTGAGGAAGAATATTGAGAAGCTGGAAAGCAAAACGAGAGAGCTAACAAGCAAAAAGAATGACACAGATAGTGCCCTAGCAGCAGCTGCTAGGAGAGAGGGAAGAATCCCCACCGAGCGAGCGAAAGAATGGCTCGATTCAGTAAGTGTAATCGAAGCAGAAGCCGTTCGGATTAAAGATGAGTATGAGCAAAGACGCCTGTGCCCCGATTGTTGGTCTCGTTACAAACTCAGCAAGAGAGCTGTCAATCTCGTGGAAGATGTCGACTACAAGTTAGCAATGGAGATTGGTGCATTGTCTACCTCTCCACCTCCAGAGCGTGCTGTACAGTTGGAAACCACGCCCATCCCAAGCCAACCTACAGCTCAAAAAGCATTACAGGAGGTTCTCAACTGCATACATGACGACCAAATCGGGATCATCGGAGTGTACGGTATGGGAGGAGTAGGTAAAACAACTCTTGCCAAAGAGGTAAACAATCAATTGCAGTCCAATACTAATTTTGATATTGCGATATGGGTCACTGTGTCTAGCTATCCAGATCTATCAGGCTTGCAGAAGAGGATTGGAGAGCGATTGGGTCTGGATTTGTCGAATTGCAGTTATGAGACGGCCCGGGAGAAGCTACTGACTAAGTTGAGAGGAATGAAGTTTGTAGTGATATTAGATGACATTTGGAGTCCTTTGTCACTCGAAGATGTCGGAATTCCTCGACCAACCATTGAGAATGTTGGGTGCCAGATTCTCCTAACCAGTCGAATCCGAGAAGTTTGCAGTGACATGGATGCCAAGCCGGTGATCCTAGTAGCACCACTCTCGAAGGAGGAAGCATGGGCTCTATTTGTCGAGAAATCAGGTTCACATTCTACTTTGCCGAAAATAAAACCAGTTGCCGAAGCTATTGTTGAATGTTGTGATGGGTTGCCCCTAGCGATCATCACGGTCGCACGAGCCATGGCAAACCATTTGAAAGTGGAGGAGTGGGAGGATGCCCAACGGGAGTTGAAACAGTCGGGCAGTGGTGTTAGAGGTATGGATGAACGCGTATATAAGCCCTTAAAGTTCAGTTATGATAAATTAGATGATGATGATCTTAGATCTCTCTTCTTGTTCTGCGCTTTATACCCTGAAGACTATATCATGAGGGAATATGAACTTTTAAATTGGTGCATTGGGGAAGGATGGGTAGATAGGGTAGGTGATCTGAATTCTGCCATTAAAAAGTTGCCTACTTTAGTTAGAAGGTTAAAACTAGCATGCATGCTCGAAACTGGAGATGAAGAAGGCTCGGACCTTGATGATGAAATAACAGTGAAGATGCATGACGTGTTGCGGCACATGGCTCTATGGATCACTTCTATTAGGTCGAGGTCGGGGCAAGGTGCCAAATTCTTAGCACTGCCTAGGGCTGGTCTGAGTGAGGCGCCAGATGCCTCGAAATGGAGTGAGGCAGACAGAATATCCTTGATTGAAAACCATTTAAAGGCCCTTCCTCCGTTGCCTGAATGCCCAAAACTGGTAACACTACTGCTTCAGCGAAATCGGGATCTATCGTACATCCCACCCGAGAATTTCTTTGAACGCCTGCGTGCCCTCCGGGTGCTTGATTTGAGTTATACCCGTGTTTCATCCCTCCCATGTTCTATTTCAAAGTTAGAGAACCTCCTTGTGCTCCGGTTACGCCGTTGCCCGATACGAGAGTTACCTGCAACATTCGGGGAGCTTCGGCGGCTTCAATTGTTAGACTTGTCAGGGTGTCGTATGATTGAGGAGCTGCCTATTGGGTTTGGGGGCATGACTGATCTAAGACGGCTACATCTGTCCTGGACCCGTAGTCTCACGAGATTCCCACCTCGAGCATGGTCTTGTTTAAGCAATCTGGAGGAGTTGTACATCCAAGAATGTGGCCTCCCATGGTCCATCGAGGAGCCTGGAGAGGCGGGTGGGGCATATTTGTTGGAGTTAACTCGCTTCAGTCGCCTGAGATTTATTGACAACTTAACCGTTACAGGTGTGGTAAATTGGAATTGGCTTGAGGAGTTAACCAGGAGCATCCGGGGATTGAGAATAGAGGAATCTACTATTACAGATGATGCCTTGATCACATTGGAAAACTCCCCTGGCATAAGGATTTTGGTGTTTGTAGAATGCCTGGGGCTGACACGCGCCCCCAACACCTTTGCAACTGACCTTGAGATAGTAGGTTGCAGGGAAGTGAAGTGTGTGATGGTGGGGGAGGAGGCGGGAGACGGTGCATTCCGATGCTTGGAGAAGTTGGCGCTTACGCGCTTGGATGGAGTTGAGAGCATATGCATTGGGGTGCCGTCTCAGGGATCCTTCGCCATCCTAAAACGACTGAGTTTGAGTTCATGCTCAAGACTGCGGTCCGTCTTCACAACCGGCATGCCGCAAATGCTCACTAGTCTGGAAAGTGTGTTCATCCAAGAATGTGATGAAATGGAAAAAGTGATAGATGATGAACAGGAGATTGAAGAGGATGCCTTCCCCAATTTGGAAAGTGTGATTCTTAGATCGCTACCAAAATTGAGAACCATATGCGGCCGCAACTTGAATTGGCCATCGCTGAAGGGGATCGATGTGGAGAAATGTCCAAGTCTAACCAGGCTCCCTTTCGATGCCCGCAGTGCACAATGTCTAAAATACATAGGGGGAGAGAAGGAGTGGTGGGAGGGTTTGGAGTGGGCAGACCAAACCACCAAGTCCCGTCTCCAACCCGCCTACTTCTGGCACGAAAAATGAAGTGTTCAGAGACACTCAATGAGACATTAATATCTAGAGGCATCTGGTAATTTTACTTTATTTTATTAGTTAAAAATCCGTCTATCTTTTTTTGCCTATAGATGTAGTTACATATGAATTATGTAAAGTTCAGTTGTTTTTTTTGCATTATTTCTTTCCTCTTTTATTTTTTTTGCTTTTGATTTGTTTGTTGCGAGTTCTATTTGTTTTTGCCCTTTCTTTCAAAAAAAAAAAAAAAGGGGTTGAAGTTTAGAGCTTTCGCTGACAACACTCCTCTACTTCATGGTGAACTTTATAGTGGAAAGACACCACATAAATCTGTGAATCGCGGGGGGCCAGAGAGAGAGAGAGAGAGAGAGAGAGAGAGCGCTTAAGAGAGTATTTATTGTACAACAGGATTGTTGTCGATGCAGCCTTATGCATCCACAGTCATGGTGCCAAGGCGCAACAAAACATGTATTCCTCCTCCGGCGGTGGAGTGGCAAGGTGCGACACTTTGACGTTTACAGTTCCATTGATAAAATTTGGAGAAAAAAAAATTGGAAACTTTCAATTTTTGAGAATATTTAAATGGTTAAGGAAGGATTAGTAATTTATTCATATCCAAGGACAGTCTTTGTTTTTTTAGGAATTTTTTTTTAACAAAAAAGTTCTTTTTATTTTTTTTCTCATTCCATTTGTTTTAATGGTTGTTCATCAGCGTCTCGCCTTGCCAGGTCTAGAACGATTATTTTTTTTTTCCGTTCTTGTTTCGACTCTCTGATCTGTCTATTCCGATAATATCTATTATGAATACATGTTGATTTACTGTTATGCGTGATTGTTCAGTTCGAGATGTCGGTTTCTGAGGATTGATAATTTACAGTTGTCAAACTTCTTATGTTCCTGCTTTGTTACTATTGTCTATCTTCAATTGTTCAAACTCAAGTTGTTCTCGCTTTTTTTGAGCTTTAAATTTCATAATTAAACTTGACAAATATTCAGGAGATCCAAAAAATTTGTGGCACTCAAATTGCATCTTTCAGCATGATTTTTTTTGTGCTACATCCAACTTTGATTGTTTAAGCTGGGCGCTTCTTACAAACCGCTATTGGACGATAGACACAAACATATCCGAAACATTAAAGAACTTAAGATCTCCTCCTCTGTTCTGAACAAAATGTTATAGAGAACAAAATCTTAACAAAAACTCTAAATTATATCTCGAGGGCCCATGACCTTTTTTTTTTTGGGTAAATAGTGCCCAAGTACTTGATAAAAAGAAATGGGACTATACAAGCACCTGTCGATCTCTCTCCCCACAAGAATAAACTCTCTGAGATCTTTCTCTCTCTAATAAAGAAAAAATTTTGACGAAGCTCAAAATTACAAGGTTACTGCAAATTACATATATATTAAATCCATATATCATTCACTCTTTATAGGAAAAATGACACAAAATATTTGGCCCCGTGTCTTTTGGGGTTGTATCATTGGACATTTTGTTGTGACCATGTCCAGCGTGACATAAGCTTGCATGTATCTACTTAGCGTTCCATAAAATAAAATAAAATAAAATAAATTAATTAAAAAAAAAAAAACCTTAAACTTGCATGCAAAAATGCAACGGTAAAAATGAACTTTAACCAAATTTGATTTTGTTAACATAAACAACTAATGTCAGCAATAATGAAGGAAGAATATGTCTGTAAATCACGTCAAAAGAAAAAAAAATTTCTTCTTTTATAAAATAAAATTCACTTTTATTATGTATGCCCCCCAAAATATTACATCCAACCTTCTATAAACTTATACAATCCTAACTTAGCTTCAAACCCAAGTAAATGATTAAGACCCCAAAATACCTTTAAACGATAATTAATTTCAAAAATATCCATATGATCGGTAATGCATGAACAATACCATATATAATACTCATAAATAGTAAATAATCAAAATATGGAAAACCTTAGAATCCTAGAAAAACTTAAAAGCTGTAAAATCAAAATTTCATCCTTTTAAACCGAAATAATAATAATAATAATAATATTTCCTCAATCACAATGCCAAATTTTACGCAAATGAAAAGAGGAAAAGTTTGGGTTGGCTCGGTTCTCAGTTTTATGTTTCTAGGAAAAGTTTGGGTTTGAGAATGTTTTGGTCTTCGAACTCCAACCATTCCCTTTCTACTTCAAATTTTTTGCAGTCTTTGTGCAGTGCCAACATCAAAGGGGAGTTTTTTAACTCTTGGACCCATTCACAGACTCCCATTGGCTAGCCTATTTAATAGATTGGATTTTCCATGAACTCCTTTCCAAGCCTTTAAAAACCTTCTTTAATTCATGAACACCAATTGTTGCTTCTCCAAAGGTACTTCCCTATTTCACATTGCCTTATTTTTCTTTCTTCTTCTTTTGTTTTTATTTTTTTTTCGGCGTTAAGTTTCATTCGTAATTTCAGTGCACATTCCCTATCAAATTTTAGCAGCAAGGACACTCATATCTTTGATTATTTTGGTACCAACTCTACTTGTACTCACTCATTTACCAGTGGTTCTCCATTTCCCAAGCTGCGGATGTTTAGTATTAGGAAAAAGTTTATATAGAGCCGAGCCTCTAAACAATTAAATTGGAGCCCATCTCTAAAACATCATTAGAAGAGGTTGTTTTGATGTCTCAATATGCTCAAATTAATCATCTCGACATCAAGATACATGGACATGAGAAAAAATGAATTTCAACTTTTGAAAATAGTGCATCTTGTAACACATTTTTGGACGGTCAATTTTCAAGATTTTCAAGTTTTCATAGATCTGATCGCTTTATGCTATTTTTGAAGCTTTAAATTTTATAATTAAAGATGAAAATATATTTTAAGACTATCACAAAAATTTTCAGTATTGAAACCATATTTCTCGACACTATTTAAAGATGGGTTTTACTTTGATTGTTCAGCTCTATACAAACCGCACCCTTACCATTATGGTCACAATAAATCTTTTTAGAGGCTTCCCATGAACCTTGCTCTGGCATATGGTAGTTTGAACACTGAGAACCAAATTTACTCTGCTGGGGTATGATAGGGTATGTCGTTTCGACCTGTACAAAGGGCAATGGAACATTCCAATCGGTGCATTATCATTTTCTTGATGTGGTGGGCACAGGTTTCTTTTGGATTCTTTTTAATCTCTGTTTGTATGTCTTTCTTGAGTATTGGTTATGTAATTAATCCCGCAAACTAGTTATATTTCAGGTCTCACTCCAAACTTTTGTGCCATTTTGTACTTTCATTGACATGGCATCATAGTTAACAAATTGGGAAGGAATAAAATATCCACAGATCAAAACATCGGTAGCAAATAGGTTTTATTTTAAAAAGTCTGAGGAAAAATTGGGTAAAAATACGGATTGCCAAAAAATAAGGTAAGCTATAGAGCCGTGATTATTTCAGATTTGGTTAAAAAATATAATAAAAAATTAGATATATACTAATGTCCTAATATAAGATTGTGATTTGTAGCTATTGTATGGATATATCAAAGCCATTAAATAATAATTTTATATCGTTACTATTGTCATTCGGTTAATACTTAACATTGTTTTGTTAAAACTAGTCTAGTTGGTTTGGACTCTCGCTCTTTCTTCTTGTGGATTTAGACTCTCCGGTGAGCCGTGACGCTAGGGTCTGCTTTACCGAGTTGAACGTTGATGAAGTAACGATGTATCTTACAATAAATCCAGCAACAATGCTTACTCTGTTGTCGTATCACGATTTTTTGGGAGCAAAACACTAACAACAATACTTAACACAAACTATTTTAACAAATAAAAAGAACTGTGAATGAACATATACAATTATTTTTCAAAGAAAAAGACAAAAAGGCCCTCAATATAGGATTGTACCTAATTAAAAAGAAAATGCAAAGTTCTAAATATGTAAAATAGTGGTCCATCCAAAATGCTATGTTGTATACAACTATATTGGAAAAACCGGGGATTAAAATCGATAACCACCCGATTAGATCAGAACCAACCACTGGTCGGTTTCTCTTTTGGGTGGTTTTTGTGATCGGTCAGTATTTTAACAAAAAAATTCAAAAATGTATATAACATCCCAAAAATAAGGAATTTGGTTTGTAATATATTTTTTAATTATTCTTTACATTATGGTAAAGATTAGAAATTGTTTAGGTCATTAATACTCACTTTTATATTTATTCATCTTTTTCAAAAAAATTTTAAAATACCCGTAGGCACAAATCAATTCTTGAAAATCCGTTTTTTCATTAATTTTCAACTTCATTTGAATGTATTTTGTTTTAATAATTCTTTATGTAATTTTAATATTTCAGAAGCTTTTTTTTAACTTTTTTATTTTTCCAACAATTTTTTGACCACTCGGGACTTGCTTGGTTAGAACAGTTGAATCGGCCGGTTAAATCGCTTCCGGCCCCATATCTGGTTAACCATTTCGGTTTGATTTTGCGAACACTGGTAAGCATCAATAAAATACAAAAATAAAAAATAACAATATGGAATTAATCAAATTTCTCCATGCATAAAAAAAAAAAAAAAGCGTAAGAAAATTGGAATTTGCTTTGAATTCCTAACTACCTAAATCTTTAGTATCATTGAATCTCTCTTTTTCTCTTTATAAGGATGCTATGGGTTTAAAGAAAAAATATATATATATTTTTCATACTCTTCCTCTAATTTTAACTTTTATTTTAAGATATACGATTGTTTTAATTCTTTTTTTTAGGAATATATTGCTTATATTTTTTCTTAAACTCTTTTATAGGAACCCATTGGTGAAATTTTTCGTTGAAATTTTTGTTAAATCAAGATTCTTAATTTACTCCCATTGTTAATGTATTTATTTTTAAATTAAAATTTAATACGGTTAAGTTAATGAAGAAATACAGTTATAGAGAAGAAATTCTTTTGAAAAAAAAGATAAAATATAGATTTATATTAGTTCCATTAAAAACAATGCGATTTTCTGAAGATCTTTTGAAAAACTCAAAGTTCCGAACGTATTTCGTAAAATGGGAGATTTTTTTAAAAACATCGTGTTTTTAGCGAAGAATTGCTAACCATGCATGTTACATACTCAACTAGAAAACCATGAGAAGATACTAACAGTTCTATAACCGCAATTAGAA